CTTTTAGGTCCGCCCAACTTTGGATTCGGTTGGGCGGAAGGTGTTCCAACCACGTTCGCGCTGAATTGGCCAGGAACATTAGAAGGTTGCGGATAATGCACCGGCTTGGGAAGCAAGACGATAATCCATGAGCCATAGTCTAGGGTATCTTTCCCCAGAGTATTTTGGGATGTTGATCGGCGGTCGGTACCATGGTGGGAAGATGGCATTGGGGATGTGTCGGCCAAAGGCCTGAGGTCCCGGCAAGTCGGGGTTTGAGCTTCGGTCCTCATTGCTGTCGTAGCGTCCGCCACGATGAGGGTGGTAGCCGAGGCTAGCCTCCTCCCTCTCATCGCCGTGGGCACGCCTACGGGCATCTAGGGTATTGCGCGCATCACAGTTGAGGCTAAGACACTCATGCACCGAGGCCGCGGCGCATGGCCTGCCACCTCGTTGCGCCTGGTCTACTGACACGTCCCTATCGGGTCGCTCTGAGGGCGCGCGCTGACTGACGTCGAGCTCACGTCGTTGGGACAGCGAGCTCTCGGCCTGCTGCCGCCGCACGCTTGAGTAGAGTGCGAATCTCACGATGGGCCCGACAATCCTCGGGTGTCACGGGCTCTGGAAGCCCCCGGAGCAAGGCCACCGTGGCAGCGATGTTCTGGCTTGCCCGGGTGAAGTGTGGGAGGGCTTTGTCATCCTCGATGACCCTCCGGTTCACGTCGCGGGCCGTGGCGCGCGCACGCCCACCGTCTCTGTGGCGCTCGAGCTCCGCGTGTTCCTGCTCGAGCTAGAGTCGTGCTTCTTCGAGCTCTTGGTGCTGTGCCAAGGTTGGGGCCCCTACATCCCCCTAGACCTCATCGTCGAGGTTGTCTGTTAGGGTAGCCCCTCCCTCATGGATGCTTTCGATGTATCCCTCGGGGGTACTTGCCATGAAACAATCTCGCAAGGGGTGATGCTCCCCCTGCTGGAGTCAGAGTCGAAGGGCGACTCTGATTCTCTCATGAGAAGGTCATGGAAAGATTCCACGATGTATTTGGTCATCCCCACGAACTTGTCGTTCGTAGGGGATGGGGGCGTGCGCTACGCCACAAGGTGGCCAATGGTCTCTGCGTCGTTCCACAGACCAAACGAGAGCGCTGTCAGGGTGCTCTGGATGAGGTATTCTAGAGAGAGCGGCTCTCCTCCGGCAAGCTATGTCATGATGTTGGCGAACGAGAAGGTGAGGCAATGCAGGTCCTCCTAGGACGGTCGGGGTCCTAGGAAGGCACCGAGCTGGCGTTCTAGCCTCTTGTAATCGAAGCCGAGGAGCTGGTTGCTCCTCAGGACATGGGCCTCCATTGCGTGCAGCTGCAGCTCCTCGATCGATCGTGTCGAGGCCGGTGGAGTGGAGAGGTTGGATGGCGGTGGAAACCTACGCCAACTCTCCCTCCGTCGTAACGACGAAGTCCAGGTTCCCAAAGTGCATGTGCGCGCCTAGGACCTAGCTAACGCTGTGACTAGCCATCCGAGGCCTGATGTGGACATTGAGACGCGCAAAAAGCCTTTACCTACGCGCCAACTATCGGTGTTTTTAGACCACCGACGAGTAAATTTGTATTTGTGCGTCTGGCTCGGATAGTGTGTTCGGAGGACACATGGGTTTATACTAGTTCGGGCGGAATGTCCCTACATCCAGTTCGCTGCTGCTCGTGTTACCGGCACTTAGTTTGCTGTAGGGGTTACAAACAGGCAAGAGAGAGAGAGGATCTCAAGTCTCTGGTGGAAGGAGTGAACGGGTGCTGAGAGCTAGATTGTCGCTCGGCCGTGTGCTCGTGTCATGCTCTTGTGTCCAGATCCCCCTTTAATGGGGTGCTCTGCTTCCCCTTTTATAAGCCAAGGGAAAGCGCGGGTTACAGAGGAGGAAAATGAGAAGAACGAGATAGAGAAGAAAGCTTCTAGGGTTGTCGGGTCCTTCTCCTTTATGTGGGTCCCACCGATCCTGTAGATGTCAACAGGGACGGCTCCATATCACGGCCCTATCCATCACTGGCGCCATGCGTAGGCGTCATCTGCAGGTCATGGTGTTCCACTCCATCTCGGCGAACGTCGTGGTGAACTGACGCGCCTGCCAGCGTTCGTACGAGGATTAGACAGAATAGCACCGGCACGCCCGACACTGTTCTTGATGTGAATCCCCAGGTATGGCCTATCATGGCCACGGGTTACATCGATGCATGCCAGCCTCTTCCCTGGCGTCAGAGTTTTGACCCAGGCCCATGCGTTTGGACCTAGAGTGGTTGGCGGCGGTATAGATCCCCGTCGAACAAGATGGAACCCGCGTCCTAGAGGTCGGGCGGGGCGGAGCCCGCGACCTTGGGCGAGATGAAAACCACGTCCTTGGGGTTGGGCGAGACGGAGCCCGTACCCAAGGGGTCGGGTGAGACGGAGCTCGTGGCCTTGAGGTCGGGCAAGACGGAGCCCGTGGCCTCGAGGTCGGGCGAGACGGAGCCCGTGGCCTTGGATGAGATAGAACCCGCGTCCTTAGGGTCAGGCAAGACAGAGCCCGCACCCAAGGGGTCGGGCGATACGGAGCCCGCGGCCTCAAGGTCGGGCGAGACGGAGCTTGTGGCCTTGAGGTCGGGCGAGACGGAGCCCACGGCCTTGGGGTCGGGCGAGACCTTTTAATACATTTCGAGCCATCCGAGGAAGTCAGCGTGGGCGCTAACTTTCTTGCTTTGGCTATCCCTAATATCGATACCCGACACTAAACTAATGTGCCATTGAATATGGTTGGAGCAGTAACAACTTTGTCCATTGTCCGACCCGCCGCCGTTGATGTTGTCCATGAGTCCATCGTTATGGGCGAACTCCAGCAACGCATGACAACGGTCAACGGGCGTCGTCTACCGCCGGTTCTCATGCGTCCCACTCCCACCCACATACCACAAGCTGTTAGTGTGTCGTGCGTCCCAATTGTCATGCGTCTACCGGCCGAATTTTTTATTTTTTAGCCCATTTCTTAAAAAATATTCACATTTAGACCCTCGACAGTTTTAATTTCGTCTTTGGACCCTGTGCTCGGCGCCGTGGATCATGGCGTCGAGGTAACACGTCTCGGTGCCGTGAGTCATGGCGCCGAGGTTGAATGCGCTGGTAGCCATGCTGGCTGATCAAGAGCTGTGGCACAAGTTTGGTGTGCCGAGCTTGACGCCGTGGATATTTGGGTCGAGCTCTGGCAGGTCTTCGCACCCATCAACATCAACTGTGCTAGTATGGTGGCCTTGGATGATTACCTGACCTCCATCAGCCTTTCCATCCATCAACGTCAATAGCTACTGTGCCCAGTCAAAGTTGCTTCTTTCCCAAAAAAAACGTGAAAAGTTGTTGCTACTAGACGGCTACTGTCCACACCTAACTGGCTCGAAATTATTGCAATGAACTGACCGTACGTACCACTCCTACAGTGATACTTAGTACTTGGAAGCAAGTATGATACGTTCAGAATTGATTAATACAATTTATCAATCTCCAAATTCATCAAAATAATATTTCTAAATAATATTCTAAATAATACAAACACAAACACAGTGTCTAGTTCACATCATGATTTTATTATACATTCTTTTGCACCCTGTTCCTTATTTTTGCGCATGGGGTCATTTTCATGGTTTTTGTTGTCTTCTATATCAGTACTATCTTTGAAATGTAGAAATTTCATAGAAATTATATAGAAATTTTATAGAAGAATGGGAAACAAATCATGGGTTCCAAAAGGGGTCTGAAAGATCCGAATGATTCAATATTCGTTTTTTAACATCAATATAAATATGGATTATAATGGGGTGTTCGACTACTGCATCTGCAGTACAGAGAGAAAAATCACAGCTACGACATCAACTGCTGCTTAAGCCTGTTTGGCGGGGCTTCTTCACCAGCTTACTAAGGCCCCGTTTGGTAGGGCTTCTCTAGCGGCTTCAGGAGCCGTTTGGAGCTGTTTTCTGTCAAACGGGGTAAAATAAAACGACTCCACCGATGAAGCCCATAAAAACGTGCTCTCACAGAGCTTTGAGGTGGAAAGGAGCCAAAAATAGTGGCTTCTCCCGGCTTCTCCTCCAGGCCCCTAAAAACATGCTCTCACAGGGAAGCCATTTTGCCAAATGGTTTACCAAAACCACTTCAGCTCCACTGGTGGAGCTGTTCGTGGAGTTGAAGCAAAAAAAATGGCTTCACTAGTGAAGTAAAGCTCTGCCAAATGGGGCCTAAACGATTACTAAAAACGGCTTCAGCTCCACCGGTAGAGCCGTTTGACATTGAAACTCCGTGCTAATTTAATTTTCTAAATAGACATATATGAATTAATTTTCTATTATTTTTGTTTATCTGATTCTAGATCCTTATTTTAAAAACTGTAAAATATTCAACATTGAAACTTTGTACTAATTTAACCTCGTACGTAGCTAGCAACAAATTTATTAGTACTGATTTAGTTAATGCATGAGTTACGTAAATGTGTGGTTATCTTTCACCATTATGTAACTTTATTTAATTTAGTTAATGCGGGCGTCACACCTTTTACTCCGTGCATGCCCCATTACTCCATGCATGCTCATGTAGCCATACCTCGTCTCTCTCTTCGTGGAGTAGTCTGGTATTGGATTTCATTCCTCAAAGCAGCTAGTACTAGTAGCAGCTCAGAGACTCAGACATCAGGTCACGTAACCATCCAAGACCACCATACTAGCACAGTTGATGTTGACGGGTGTGAAGATCAAAAAGTAGCGTCAGTTGTCAGAGCTCGACGTCAACCTCCACGAGGTCAAGCTCGGCGCACCAAACTTGTTGCCACATCAGCTCTTATCAGGCAGCTTGGCTGTCAGCGTATCCAACCTCAGCGCCATGACTCGCGGTGCTGAGACGTGTTACCTCGGCGTCGTGACCCACGGCGCCGAGCACAGGGTCTAAAACCGAAATTAAAACCGTCAAGGGTCTAAATGTAAATATTTTTCAAGAAAATGGCTAAAAATAAAAAAAAATCGTGTCTACCGGCGCGGCGAGGGTGCCTTTTCTGCGGAGCAAGGAATGCCGCCTTCGCTGTGATAGATTTGGGTGAACAACTGAACACTGAACAGTCGATGCGCACGCGTAGCCATAAGTGTGTTGCGGTCGAGCACCTCCATCTCCGCTGTTACTGTTAGTGCGTCGTGGTCGAGCACGTCGACGACTTTCAACAGAAGAGGCACATTCTCCGGGCCGGGGTCCTGTACTCCTGTCCCAGCCATCGGCTTCAGCAGGATGGACATTTCTTTGGCGTCACTTGAGGCGGTGCACGGATGGAACCCGGAACCCCTGCCTACGCGCTGTCCGGGGCCACGACCACGAGGCACGACACGAGCATCCCATTCTCCCCGATCTGATAGAATGCATCCTCATTATTTCAAGGCATGTTCACAGTTCAGCAACGTTCCAAGGCCACGAGTGACACCCACAAGTTCATAACGAAGAAGCACCCGCCAAGGCGCCAACGCACTCGATTCGACATCACTATCACATGCCAGACGGAAGAGATGGGGAAGGCGGCAGGGATGCCCGTCCACACCCCGGAGAAGCCCCGCCTTTACGTAGCACTCGACGCTGTCCGAGAGCGTCTCCTCCAGTTTCCTTGGTTCCCAGCCCAGGTCCCGCAGCTTCTGACATGTTAACGATGCTTTCTGATCGACATCGAGGATGCTGAAAACGCAAAAAAGAGTGGTTCAGCAGGTCGCGTAAATTACAGAAGCAATGCACATTTCAAAGTTTTGACATGGCAAACCCTACTTATTTATGTAGCTGTACTTTGGGTACATCTTCTTCAGCAAGGCCACCAAATCCTTTGTGCAAATATGATTCGGCGAGCAGATGTATCTCCCTGACGACTCTTTCTTCTCGTACAGCAGGAGTAAAGCATCGGCCACGTCACGGACGTCTACTATGTGCCAGAGTCTGTTGTTCATCACGTCAGGACCTCCTATAATCCAACCAATGGAGTTATTGTAGCGAGAAAGCAACATATACCCAGTAGTAGCACTCTGCACTGTGCAACAGATATACATGCAAGACAAATATCAGTTCTTCAAGGACTACTCATTTCCAGAAAACATCATTAATGGACTGAACACGCAAATGAAATGTGGCCCTTCTTGTAGATGCAATAATTCCAGCATGGAATATGCTATACATTATTTTGTCGTTTGTATTCATTTTAGCGTGTAATATCAAGCAATAAATGAGCCAAATGGGGAATCACATGCAATAGATTGTGAAGAATCTGCTTGTGGATTAAGGTTTTGATTAAACAGCTGTAGAGCATTTACAAAAGGCATAGCAGCTAATATTTCTGAAGAGAACATATAGGGCAAACATGGGACAGAAAAGATAACTGGTGATCAACAAATTCTAGATCATGATCAGTACCATGATATTTGAACATTGCCATCATTTCTATTTGAAAAAAAAAAAACTACGTCCAGCAACAGTAACGATTAATGTGATCTAATCTCAGGGCCTTAGATTGGACCTCATAAATGCAGTCCAGAAAGAATGGATGGATAGGTACAATTCACATTTAAACACAACTTGACTGGTGGTCAGGAGCACATCATCGTAGTGAGCCAGAACAGAAAATTCATCAAAGAAATGATAATCCTAGTAGCAGATGAGAAGGAATGTGAGAACATTAGGGAACCTTTTATAACATATATGAGGAATTTGCTGCTGGTATTCACCGTAGGCTGCAACAGTGGGCCAAAAACCAAAGGCAGGCAAAGTGTAACAACATTCAGGCCATTTTCAACCGCATATTCCAAAGCTATCTGTTCTGCAGTAATCTTGGCGACGGAATACCAGTCCTGCCACCAAAAAGCAGAGAAGGTTCCAATATAGTCCTCCCTCAGTAAGCCATCTCTAGAAAAGACTTAGCTTTATGTTAAGAAAAATCACAATACTCCTTTCAAGGTAGATATGACTGGAATGGATCAACAAATGGAGTAAACCTGTATGCTTATTGCTATCACAAAGCTTGATGTACTAAGTACTAAATGGTATTACTAACCCCATTTTTTTTGAAGAAAATTACTAACCCCATTTTCCTTGCAGAACTCCTTGTCTGACAAGCAACTCTCATCTTTCATTATATCCTGAGGCCAATTCGGGTTAAAATCCACAGCAGCGTTGGAGGACATCACAACAGGTTTGTGAACCTTTGCAGCGGAGCATATCTTCAGTACATTTAAGGTACCTTTCACAGCAGTATCGAGTACTTCTGATTGCATTGATGCGTTCAGAACATGGTGAGTACAGAGCACAAGTATTCTGTAAAGCACAAAACTTTCAGCAAGATTCACAGTGCAAACAAACAATAAACACAAGAAACTTGCTCAGGAGGAAGGGATACAACATCAACACCGAAAAAACTCTCTTTCACCGTTACTTGGAGTGAAATTTTATTGTCAGGTGTTGGCAGTACCTAGGCATCACAATTCACATGGGATACAAATTTGAGGAAGTGACATGTCTACAGCATGAACGCATGATAGATAAAGGGTAAAGAGACTTATAACAAGCTTTCTTCATGGAAATATTTACAATTGCGACAAGGAAAATCTAGAAAGAATAGAATGGTCACATTCTTTTGGGGGGTGGGGAGGGGGGGGTCACTTCTTTTGGGACAAATAAGGACTCGGAAATGAACTTCTTCTACAAGCTCAGATTCAGAAAGACTGTCAATCTAACTTTAGGTGGTTACAGTTCTCAAGCATAAGCCTCTTAGTTCCACTTGTTCTTTAGTTCTCCCTGTTTTCCTATTCACATCATTTTTTTTTTCTTCCTAGATTGGTCTACCTTGCTGTTTTCCTTCCCCTCATAGAAAAGAGAAAATATTGTTCTGATATTCTCCAGGTGCTACTACTAAAAGCATGCATCACAAAACAGCTTGGTTTTGCAAGCATGAATGACTTCCAAGGATGCAATCCACTTACACACTTCCTTCAGTTCTTCAACAGTTAGAGCATACTGTATGTGGGCACAAAGGACAAAACATTGGCTGGAAATGCGATAATTGAGAAGTGATATTATCTTACTAGAACAAAACACACTGATCCAAATGCCAATTCATAATACTATCAATACAGGCTTAATTTGTGTACTCCATCAATCTGTGTAGATACAATACTGCATAATCTGATGATAAGCATTGGTGTCAAGCAAACAAGGACTTGCCTCAGGATCAACAATCTTATCTTCAGGCACCAGAGTGGCGAGATGGAAGATCCCCTCACATCCCTCAACTGCAGGTGTTAGCGTGTCGTAGTCTAGCACGTCGGCCTTGAACAGATGCAGATTCTCAGGGGCCTTCTCCAGCTCCTTCAAATGGGCATTCTTACAATCTTATCTTCAGGCACCGGAGTGGCGAGATGGAAGATCCCCTCACATCCCTCAACTGCAGGTGTTAGCGTGTCGTAGTCTAGCACGTCGGCCTTGAACAGATGCAGATTCTCAGGGGCCTTCTCCAGCTCCTTCAAATGGGCATTCTTTGGATCACCTGAACGAGCACCCGCACTTGATTAGCACAGTATGGCTCCTAGCACCACCAATGAGGCATTTGGATATCACACGCTTCTCAGTACCAAATCCAATTATTCTCTACGATATCAGACAATAACAAATGCGATTGCAAAGAACGTCTTTGCACAGGAATCCAAATTGACAGCAAGGTACGTAGCAGTTTTGTCAGACTGTCAGTGGAATAGATAGGTTAGCGTACTTGGGTCGCGGAGAGTGGCGTGGACGGCGTAGCCGCGGGAGAGGAGCAGCTTGACGAGCCAGGAGGCAATGAACCCGCCGCCCCCGGTCACGCACACACGCCGCGGCGGCGCCATTCCTCTCCCCCCTCCACTGCTCTACCACCGCTCACCGATTTCAGAGCGAGAACCCCGCAACTTGACATCGCCGAGATTGTATATGACTGCTGCAGTTAACTAAGCACGAATCGGCAGATCGATGGGGCCTCGAACGCGCAGATCGATTAAACAACACGCCGAATAAATCAATTTGGCCATCAAGATTCAAGACAAGTGCAGAAGGGAACAAAATCACGTGGAGCAGACTCAGCAGAGGAGCACCCCGTAGAGTCTCGGTCACCAACCTCTGCAGCCATGAGGCATTCGTTATCGGCGATTCATGAACTCCCGGGTGGCGATTGACGTCTCCGTCGGACAGTCCCACAGCGGGATGGCATGGCTGGTAGGAGTCCACCAGGACCGCAGGAGCAGTCGAGCAGACGTTCAGTTTCTCACGTTCATGCCGCAGGAAAAGAAACGGTAGCGCTGGACTGGGCTTAGTTGGGCCTCATGGGTTCATCTAGGAGCAAATGGTTGGGTTCACACACGATCTATCGGCCTAACAGAGCCCGGGCCATGAATATTTCCTGCTCCATGTACGACTGGCAGTTTTTCTTTTTCTTCTAAGTAGAACATAGTCTTTTTTTCGACAACGAGTAGAACATATGTCTTTTTCGACGACGAGTAAACATGCAGACCCTCGTAAACACGAATACGCACACACCCTGTAAACACACTCATATACACCCTGCTCTCTATGAGCACCTCTTGGACCGGCAAATTTAACGAAATCATCGCAAGCGCCTCGTGTCGATGAGCATGTCGCCTATCAACCTACCAATAAAAGAATAATATTATTAAATCCTAAAATAAATTCAGAAAATTACGAACACTCATATTAAGTCGAGTACTTAAATCTAAGTGGACAAATTCTATCACAAGAAACCCAACCAACTGAGTTATGCTCAGTTTGCAGAACATATGCTTCTTTTCTTTTCTTACTAAATGCAGAACAGATGTAGACACTTATATACATGCAAGCACAATTGTCTCTATAAACGTATGCACATGTACTCAACCTCTATGAATATCTCCAAAAGACTGGACTGGACAAGACCCGTAGATCTCGAGATTAATAAAGTTAATACAGACATCTTGTTATTGATGAACACGTGACCTACTACTAAAAGAATAGCGTGGTTAAATTTTTAAATAAATCTAGAAAAATACGAGTACCCATGTTAAGGGTGCGTTTGGCAGCGAGAAGTGTTTCAAATTCTCAGTAGAATGACTGAATTGTTGCCAAATGCCACAAAGAGAAAATTGTGAGAATCATTTGGAACAGATTGTCATTTTTTTTAACCAAAGAGAAACAACTAAAACTTAGTTTCCCCTGATTCTAGTTCTAGTTTTAAGAATACAGCGAGTCAGACAAATGGTTTGACAAAGTGATTCTGTTTCAGCAGACAAACATTTTTGGGAGAATTACGATCTTGCCCTTGTCCAGTACTCCAATTGTGATTTTGCCTCTTTTTTTTTAACTTTGTGATTTTACCCTCGCTTTTTTCAAACGAAGCTCCCGTCTACCCCTGCTTTGTAACACCGTCTAAAATGCTTGGATTAAATGGTAAAAAAAAGAAAAAGAAAAGACACCTACATGAAAAGACAATGATACCCTCAGTCCCTTTCTCACCTGTTCGCTCGACCCGTTCCCGACGAGAAGTCGTGGCCTAGCAGAGGCGCAAGTACCGGCGGCGGCGCAGCTCCTCCTCCCTCCTTCCCCCTCCCTCCCGGCGTGGCTCATCCTCCCTCCTTCCCACTCCCCCCGGCGCGTCTCCTCCTCCCCGCCACACACTCGACAGCCGCTGCTCGCGATTAGGGGTTTGAGGAGTACCCGGCGCTGGCGCGACTCATTGGTGGCGGCGCAACTCATCCTCACTCCGCCCCTCTCCTCCCAGGCTCGCGCCCATGATAGGGGTGGGCGTCCACGTGGCTCGCTGCTGGTGAGGCTCCGCCCGACCCCTCCCGGCTCGCGCCCGCTGAGCGGCAGGGGCTGGGCCTCGGCCGCCGCCCGTCCTCCACCCCACGAGGTCACACAGCAAGCACCCATGCGCGCCCGGCGCTTGGCCGGGCGGCCGCCCCACGCTGACGGACGAGGTCGGGGACGCTCTAGATCGGGACTGCGAGATTGGATGGACGAGAACTACGTCTTCGGATGCTTCGCGAACACTGGGGAGGTATGTCACTTGATCTGATTGATGCTGGCGGTGGATGCGTGTGATTTCGATTGTTGCTCTTCACGGAATATATGACACCCTTTGCTGCCGCTAATAGGTCTTGCTTTAAGGTTTATAAAGATTTTGATTGTTTACTAGTTTTGTTGTGAATTTCGTACGACTGCTGACGATTGAAGCTCCAGGCTAAGTTAGTTTGTAGTGATTCTAGAACCTATTGTAATGATCAGGCTATATTTGTGATTGAATCGTTAATTTTAAATTTTGTTTCATGAATTGTTAGCATGATCTGGCGATAGTTGTATATCTCGTAAAATAACTTAAAATTGTTGTATATCCCATGGGTAATAATGTTTAGCAGCCATTGAGCCATGGTTTTTTTTTTTGACCAAGACTATTTATATGCTTCAGTTTGAGTTTCCTGATTGGTGTTTATAGATGTATGCTGCCCATGCATTCATGATTTTCTGACCCTTTACTTCATATTTACATGATTTTTCAGGTTCAAAATGTGAAGCTCATTCGTGACAAGAATTCAGGACAGCTTCAGGGCTATGGTTTTGTTGAATTTACAAACCGTGCAGCTGCAGAGCGAGTTCTTCAGACATACAGTGGACAGATGATGCCAAATGTTGAGTTGACATTTCGGCTGGGCCAGTGCCGGTGAAAAGCGTGATGATACTCCTGACTATACTATTTTCGTTGGGGATTTGGCTGCAGATGTTATAGATTACTTGTTACAAGAGACATTCAGGGTTCATTATCCCTCGGTGAAGGGTGCAGAAGTTGTGACTGATAAATTGACAATGCGCACAAAGGGATATGGGTTTGTGAAATTTGGTGATCCTACAGAGCAAGCTCGTGCAATGACTGAAATGAATGGAATGCCTTGTTCTTCCAGGCCTATGCGTATTGGTCCTGCAGCAAGTAGGAAAAATACAGGAGGTGTTGTTCAAGAGAGAGGTAAGCATGGCCAGTCTCATGTCCTTGTGATTCTTGTTAGCTTCTACATGTTTGCTGATTGATGCAATTGAGGATACATATAACTTGTTATGTCGTGCTGGTGCTGCCTACAACCCGGAGCCGTCGCCCTTCCGCGCACGCGCCGACGGCGAGGAGCCACCACGGGGCCGACCTGCCGGCTCGTGCACGCGGCCGTGGCCAAGCTGCTGGACCTAGGCGCGCGCGCAGGCGCCAGACTGGCACTCGCGTACGCTTGCTCTTCCCCGCAGCACCGCAAGGATGGCCACGCCGGCACCTTGCTTCACGGCTCGTCGGGAATGGCCGACGACTTCCTGTCTTGCTCTGACAGCTTGCCCTTGGAGCGTTCCGCACGGTTATAGGTACAGCCTCATGGTCTTCCTGCGGAGACAGATTGCGACACCGCCGCTGTCTCGCGTAGGGATGGCCATTGTTCCACCGGCAATGCCGATGCAGGGATCAGTACCAGCACGGTAGTGTTGCCTATAATGGATTTTGGTGATGAAAACAGAAGCAAACGGGGCTATGCTATGGAAGCAACTTGTATGGCGGTTACTTTTGCTGAAAAAACATGTACTGTATGACATTCCTATGTGGTAAGGTACTAAGGTTATCAGTGCATGCGTTTATTTATACAGTTTGTTAACCGATGTTCTACATGCATTCTTATACATTGAAGATTTTTGGTCTCACATAAAAGATTATATCGAAATATTTCAAATAATTGCAAGTTGTGCCAAATATGTTTGACCAAATTTAATCAATTGTCAGTATACAATAAAAAGTCTAATTCCAAATCAGGGTAAAATCATAATTAAGCATAACAAACAGGGGCAAAATCGCATGGGCATTCATGTCCTTTTGTACAAAGTTTAACACCGTCAAGAGTGGATGACGGAGCAGGGGCAAACTGGTGCTTCGTGAATGGCACAGTAGGGGTAAATTCATAAAGTCAAAAAAATAGGGGCAAAATCACAATTTCGATACAAAACAAGGGTACAAACGCAAGAGCCCCAACATTTTTTAAGAGAGAATTTTGATCTAAAATGTTTTTTAATGGAATCTGAATCCGTACCAAACGCAACCTAAGTCAGGTTCCACAATAAGAAACCTAACAAGATAAATCTTAGAATAAATCAAAAAATTATATGCCCACGCTAAATAGGTTCTACCAAAATGAATCTAAGTAGCTGAGCTATATTTTCATATGCTAGAATATTTAATTTTTATTCCAATCGAAAATTATTAGTCCCCCACCGAAGTTAGATGAAAAAAATGTTAGACATACCAAAAATAAAAATTATTCAACGCGGAGATTTTTTTTTTTGCGCCGATCATTGGCCTGTTCGGCAGGACTGGAAAATACTATTCCGGCTGATTGTTGTGAGAGAAAAATACTGTTCTGACAGGACGTAAACAGTGATTTCATGAGTGGCGGAACGAGCCAGCCGAACACGCCCTATCGTTACCTCGTCGATTATAACGGCTTATGCGACGCGTAACATTGCCTCCGCAAGACTATATATTATATACATCGAGTTACATTATCCTCGGCCTGCCCAACGACATATATTTTGGCTTGATCGCACACCGTCACCGAACGCATGCGGCAAGAACAGTCAGTATATCTTGCGGCTTGCGCGTGCAGGAGGACGAAGCGCTGTCTTGTACAGTTATATATACACGAGATGCCGCCGACCACCCGCGCTTATACCAATAAACAGAAGGTAGCTAGGCTCCTCGTGCGTGCACAAGTTTGTGAATGTTTATTTTGCCCTTAAGCCTCAACATGCTCATCTACATTCATCCTTGGATTGCATGGGC